GTGGAAAAAACAAAAGGAGATTTCCTCCCACAACCAGTTCTCTGAACTGCTTAGAAAGTTAACAAACGGTTCTCCCAAATAGTGCAAACCAGCTGAATCCCACCACTGGCATTGATTCACTTAACAACTGTGGCAAGAAAGTTCCTAAAATGAGGTAAAACTCACATAATGACTGTCTGACTTAGCAGGGGAACTTTTGGACTCAGTTGTGGTCACAGGTTGAGGTCTGCTTGTAATTACTTTCTGAAAGCTCGGATTTGAAGAAAAAAAAATGCTCTCCTTTACCTAGGTACAAAGAAGGTGGTGAAGCTCTCCTCGTTTTGCTTCCTTCAGAGGAAAATGGCATGATTCAGCAGCTGTCACAGAAGAAAGTTCCTGTCAGCAATATCAAGTAAACTCTTTTCCAATTTGTACATAACTTAGTTATGCATTTGAAACCGAAAGCAATTTCTTTTCTATGACACCGTTTTTCTTCTTCTTCATAAAACAGATATTTAAAACTTTCATTTAAACCTAAAAATGATGCGGAACATAATGAGAATATCCATTGGCAACACATCCCGTCATTTATTTTTTTTACAAAAAAAAGTAAACATTCCCTATATTTCAAATCATCTTATTTCCTAGGAAAGCAAATAGCCAAAATGCTCTTCCATTATTTCAAATGTTTGGAGAAATGGAAGTCTGTAAATACAATCTGACCTTTCTGTGTTTTTGCACCTCCTGCTAGCAATTTTACCTCTCCCCCCTCCCTCCCGGCTAAATTATGTGATCTGCCAACACTTAATCTGTTTAGCAAAGACAGAGCTGAGACAGTGAATTCTTGCCAGTAGCAAAATTACACAAAATGTGGGATGATTTGGATGCTGTATGGAAGGTGTATGTGGTCTGTGTAATAGTAACAACAGTGTTTTTCTTTTTAAAAATTTGTACCATTAGCCAAAGGAATAAAATTGGAGAGGAAAAAAATGGCTACTGCCACTATTAACTCCTGCCAAACACCCACATATGCTTTTAAAATCTATTATTAAAATACAATACTGTTCAAAACAAATATACTCCAGTCTTTGAAACATTGAACATTTGGCAAAAGTGTCTGTAGTACAGAGTTCCTATACTGCTAAATTAAAATGCTGATCTAAAATAGGGCAGTGTTAAATTTGCAGCATTAATGCTATTTTAGCCTTTTTCCTCCAAGCAAAGCTTAGTTGATACCACCAATAGGCTCCTGCTTTGCTTCCAATGATATCAGTTTTCTACCTTCATGCATACAAAACTAATTGCCATTTGCTACCTAATATCCAGTAGCTCAATATGCAGAAAAAATTAGTTCATATGCTGCACTGAAGTAGCTGTTCGCTTCCGATAATGCTGTTTACAGTGCTTTAAATCATGGATGATAAAGTGCGAGTGCAGTGAAGCTTGCAGATTCGTGTAAATGGCTCCTTTTTGTCTTCTTAAAGGAATTTAATTATTTTCAAAAGCCATTTAAATAACAGAGCTGTAGCTTGCTATGTTCATTTTTGCGGCAGAAATAATAATCCAGGATTTTTGAATACAAAAGAATATTGTACCCTAAGTCAAGGTGAAGCCATTTTCTTTTCAAAGGTTGTAAATGATAAAAAGGGCTACTGGGAGGAATGGAATGGAAGCGTGTGCATGCCCAAAGAGCCAAGGTGGCGCAGTGGTTAAATGCAGCACTGCAGGCTACTGCTAGATCAGCAGGTCAGCGGTTCAAATCTCACCGGCTCAGGGTT